GTATCTTATTTGTGTATCACTCAGCTATAGATCCTCAAATCATCTCTAAATTGGTGGAGACACTGTCCTTCCTTCTGGAGGAGGGGGGGGGGCTACTTACCTACAGTCGAGTGATACACAAATAAGATATATTTTTGGTCATATTTAAGGTACTTAAATGCATTTTTAAGATCTAACTCCTGATTTTAGTGTCACTTTAAATATACTGTTGAAAGCTTTTTTTAAATCTGTTTGATAAGTGCAAAAAATAACAGTTGAACCTGCCAGAAGTCCAGTGAGCTGATAACTTCTCATGGGCTCTTCAGCATTATCTCAAGCAGTCTTATCAACCCTGGCCATTTCTCTCTGTGGACTGCAGAACACCTACCAGGAGGGGAGGTGTTCTGTAGACGTGACACACTTCCTGGAAGTCCCTGGACTGGAGGAGAGGGAGCCTTGACTGCTGTGATCATGGGAAGCAGAGGGGTCGGTAATATGGAACCTCTCTTTATAGCCAAAACAGAAAAATGGTCACCAGCACTCCAAGTTCTCTTCAAAACAAAATCCTTGTATTCATTCACGCAGGTCATATCACCATGTGTGGCAACGTTTCGGAACCTGTCCGGTCCCTTCATCGGGTAATCACTTTTTGTTTGCCTGATGAAGGGACCGGACAGGTTCTGACACGTTGCCATGCAGGGTGATATGACCTGCAAGAATGAAGAAAAGGATTTTGTTGTGCTGGTGACCATTTTTTCTGTTTTGCAAGTATCTGGCGGTGCCATCTGCGCCCACTTTAGCCTGCCCCCCACATTATATGGGGCTTCTCGGTCAGGAGTGCGGTAGGACTCTCTATTTCTCTTTACAGCCAGACATAGGTGTCTGCTAATTGTTTAAGGTGATGGTAGAGAAGGAGATTCTACCAAGGTGTTAATGGGCTGAGGGGTGGAATTACTGGCCTCTTGGGAACTGACTTGTGTCCTAGGTTGACACTAATGATCTTCCATAGATATGGTGAGTGAGTGTTGTCACCCTAGGTCAGGAAGTGTTGTTACTGGCAGGATCACCAGGTGAAAATAGAGGAAAACCTGCAATAAGCCACCACATCTTAGGAGTGGTTCGCTGTGATATATCACATTCTTGTCCTAGGGATCATGCTTTTTTTTTTAATCAACATTTTTTTATTTCATATTCAAACAGTACATTAAACAAAAACCTGCAATAAGCCACCACATCTTAGGAGTGGTTTGCTGTGATATATAACATTCTTGTCCTAGGGATCATGCTTTAATCTTAAATAATTAGACAATTCAGTGTAAAGCTGATCACCAGTACAAGGCACTTGTGTAGCATTCACCATAGGGAGCATTTCACTCCCTCTCTCCAAAGGTTCACACCTTTCTGCTGGGATGCATTGCACATTACTTGTGTGGGCGCATTACGGTGCAATTTAATTGGAATACAAGACAATGCAGCTCCAATGCATATGTGTTAGACATGTAAGCTGCGGAAAAATTCAATTTGGTTCGGATATTTCGTTATTTCGGGATTCGGATCCGAAATTCAATTCGGTTCGGGTTTCGGATTTGGACGAAATCCAAATTTCATTAGTTTCGGTGGAGTTTACGAATATTCGTTGCGAATAACACAGAAAACCATATACAGATAATAATACTAAAGCTGAGGCTCCCAGACCCGAATGACATTCTGGAGCCGAATTTACAAATTGCATTTGGGAGCTGCTGAATGCTATTCGGATCTGGGAGCCTCAGCTTTAGTAATATATGTACAGTATATGGATCCCAGACCCGAATGGCATTTGTAAGCTCCCGAATGCAATTTGGAAATTCGGATTCCGAATGCCATTCGGGTCTGAGGGCCATATAGTTACATATATTACTAAAGCTGAGGCTCCCAGACCCAAATGGCATTTGGGATCCGAATTTCCAAATTGCATTCGGGAGCTCCCGAAAGCCATTCGGGTCCGGGAGCCATATACATACAGTACTAAAGCTGAGGCTCCCAGACCCGAATGGCATTTCGGGTCTAGGAGCCTCAGCTTTAGTATTATATGTATATACTGTATATGGCTCCCATGTTGCCATAATGAAAATTCGTATTCAGACCCATTGGGATGCATTACACCAAAAAACACATCTGATTGGCCAGAAAAGTCACATGTTCGATTCAGTTTCGTTTTTTTAACTAAATTCGGAGGGGATCTGAAATTCAGAAACGGCAATTCGGATTCGGACACATTCGGATGCATTGGGATTCGGAAATTCGGATGTGTCCGAATGTCCGAATTATGGAAAATTCATCTGATTTGTTACGTTACGAATTTTGATTCAGAAGGAAACAAATCGCACATGTCTAAAATGTGTTGCAGCGCACCACATTGTATGGTAGCCCTCTACTGTGCATTGTGGTGCACTGTGCTTCTTGGATGTTTTGGTGCATTGCTGGCCCAAAATATATAGCATGTGTTTATGATGAAGCCCTAAATGAGTGAAACGCGTTAGTGCAGGCAGCTTCTAATCAGGGAGTCTCGGTTTGCTGGAAATGCTCAACCCTATGGATTAAAAATTTATTAGTGGTTGGATTATTTTTTTCCTTGTTGTCTTGAACCAGTGTCACATTTGTCTTGTTAGAAGTGTTTTTCTGTCCACTCCATCACAGCAGCCAATCAGAGCTGTGAAATTTGGAGAGAGGCTGGAGAGGAGTGGGCTGCTGTAAAACAAGTCAGATGGCACTTCAGTAAATGTCTGGAAACAAAGGATGTTTTGTATTCATGACATTACTGTAGATGTCCTATAATACATCGGATTCCATGCCCTCATAGCTGTACATGTGAGCCCTCCCAGAACAAGCACGGACCATTCTGTTCTAGGACACAGTTCTGCATTTTTCATGTAAATTTATAATAAAGGCCCCAGTGAGATGAAACGCGCTTTGCATTTAAACTGACCACATAATATAAGCCAAGCGGAATTCAGAAAATACGGCGCGCTTTGTGAAAATCATACTGTTTATGGGATCCCAACTTTCCTAAAGCTGACCATACACTATGCCAGTGTAAAGGGGATTCCTGATGTGAAGGGCGAACTCTGATGTGAAAGGTGGGCTGTAATGTAAAGGGGGGTTGGGGTTTGGTGTGAAAGGGGTTTCCTGGTGTGAAAGGGGAACTCTGATATGAAAGGTGGGCTCTAATGTAAAGTGGGGGGGGGTCATGGTGAAAGGACAGCGCTGTCTGTATCTACAAAGCCCTGCCCACCACTGGAAAAGATTGGGAGATCTGTATATCATACATACTGGGGGTAGGGGTGTCACTTGTAAGAAGACCACGGAGCCCAGAATTGGACTTCAACTCTTACTTGCTATTCCCTAAATAAAAATACATTTGGGCTCAGGTTCCTCTTTAAAATCTTTGACTTTCAAAGTTATACAAAAGCCAGCAGTGGCTTAGTGGTTAGCACTCTTGCCTTGCGGCACTGGGGTCCTTAGTTTGAATCCCAGTCAGGACATTATCTGCATGGGGTTTCTATGATCTCCCTGTGCTTGCCGGGATTTCCTCTGGGTTTTCTCCCACACTCTAAAGCAGTCTTTCTCAACCAGGGTGCCTCCTGGCTTCTACAGGGATGCCTTGACATTTTCAAATGGTAGGGAAACTGATGTGAAGGGAGAACTCTGATGTGAAAGGAGGGCTCTAATATAACGGGGGACTTCTAATGTTATGAAAGATGTGAAGGGGAGGGGGCTTCTCATGTGAAAGGGGGGGTTCTGATGTGAAAGGAGGGTCCTGATATGAAGGGAAGGCTCCTAATTTGAAGGGGGGACATCGATGTAAAGGGAGGAACCACACATTTGTGTGTTTTTGCGTTGGGCCTCTGTAAAATCCAATACATTTTAGACCCGGGTGCCTCGAGATTTTGCCGTGACTGAAAAAAGGTTGAGAAACGCCCGGTCTAAAGACATGCTGGAAGGTTAATTGGCTCCTTTTTAAATTGGCCCTAGTATGTGTATGAATGTGAGGTAGGTGTTAGAATATACATTATTGTATCTATTGCAATAACTCCTGCAGTATACAATTTTGGTCAGTAGATGGCAGTGTTTATAAGTTCTGTTATACAGTATCAATGGTGTATACTCTGTTGTATTGAATAAGGTAGAGAATAAAAGCTGCGGCTTCCTGTTTTCAAGCCATGTGCAGCATACATATAAGACTTTGTGCTTGTGTTTCTCTGTGCGGCTGTGCAAGAAGACAACAGTAGGGACCTTAGATTGTAAGCTCTTCCCTGTGAGGCTGTGCAAGAAGTTCCAACAATCTTCATGTTTCCAAGCCATGTGCAGCATACATATAAGACTGTGTGCTTGTGTTTCTCTGTGAGGCTGTGCAAGAAGTTCCAACAGTAGGGACCTTAGATTGTAAGCTCTTCCCTGTGAGGCTGTGCAAGAAGTTCCAACAGTAGGGACCTTAGATTGTAAGCTCTTCCCTGTGAGGCTGTGCAAGAAGTTCCAACAGTAGGGACCTTAGATTGTAAGCTCTGTGGGAGCAGGGACTGATGTAAACACTGTATGTAAATGCGCTGTGTAAATTGATAGCGACTTTTACATACCTGTAATAAGTATTAAAGTGTCAGTGCTACAGTATGTCAATAAGTAAATACTATAGTTAAATACCAGCAATAAAGAAGTATTGCCAAAAAAGTACATGCTATGTGAACGAGTGAAACAATCAATTATTTCAGTGCACTTTGGTGTGACAGGTGCTCTTACAATATAAACACAATGAGGTCTGCATATGTTTTCAACCTTTAATGGTTTTCAGATGTCTACATTACCAAAGCTGTGATGTCTTCCTGGTATCCAGTATCAGCAGCTCACACTGTGTGTAATAACCTGATACTGTGCTAACACATTAATAAACTGTTACTTCCCTCGCAGCTATTCGCACCATTCTCCCCCCTAGCGCCACATATACAAATTGTGTTCACGTTTAATCTTTATTCTCTTCATTGCAGTGTACACCATCCTGTCCAAGGTGCACTCTGACCGCAATGTCTATCCTTCCTCCGGGGTTCTGTTCGTCCACGTTCTGGAGAGAGAGTACTACAAAGGGGAATTCCCTCCTTACCCAAAGCCAGGTACAAAAATGGACACACACACACACATATATATACTGTATATACTGTATGTGCACATACACAGATGGGCAGCTTAAAGGGACTCAGTCATGTCAGAATCATCGCTTGCCATTCCTGCACTGTCCTTGTAAAGAGCCAAAAATAAGAATATTAAAAGATAAAGTAACTAAACCAGATTTTGCTGCAATATTTATGTTTGGCACAAATATTTCCTTGCAGTACTTTTTGAGCCATTAGACGCCCTCAGTCTGATGACAAGCATTATTCAACTCGCTTCCTCTGAGCCCAGGGTGTCATGGACCCACCCCCAGCCTGCGAACGGACAGTGAGAGGAGCAGCAGCCCGGTGATATGCTCATCTCTCTCTCACTCTGCTTTTTCCTGCTATCAGCATGGTTTTTGGCAGCACATTAACTGATTGGTTCCTTGTGCTGCTTCTTTCACTCACACTCCAGCGCTTCTGTACATTTTCTTTGCCCCACTGCCACTTCATTTAGTGCCTGATGTCAAAGGAAATGCCCAGTGCCTCTGGGTATACATAAGCATGTAATACACTCCATGTGACAGTTCTGGGCCAATCAAAGCTTTCACATTGGGAATCCGAAGACATTTATAACCTATGAGTCCAGCAACTTATTATTCCACTCAGGACTTTCCTTTCACTAGTGGTGTCTGACCAGAGCGAAGTGAAGGTCAGTATAAGCTGCATGGGCAAACCACAGGTTCACTTTGAACCCTAATATCAGCACTCTTAAAGTAGACGTAATGTAAGAACAAAATGCTGATTGGCAGGTTTTCTAAGACGAAAGAGACCGTGTAATTCTCTTCTGTCATAAAAGCTTCTTGATGCCATTCAGAATTTGTTTTGTATACCGAGCTGCAGATGTGCAGCTCAGTGCAGAGAACCCAGCATGCTGAGATGAAGTAAGTCCCATTCGCATGCATGAGACATCATTGGAGCCCAGCTTATCAAGAAACCTGGACGAAGACCTACGAGACTATGGAAGCACCAGTGAGGGGGGAGCGCAGCGCTGGAGGGGATCAGTTTGGCAGGTAAGACTGCCATAATATGCTGATATCCTGTACATACTAGCACTCTATGGCTAAAAGCTGCGTCCTGGGGCTCCTTTTTTCAAAGTTTTTTTGTAAAAACGCTTTAAATTATTTCTATAAGGCACATGCCTTCAGGGAAGTATAAGGAAGCATGTACAATAGGAAATGTGCCATGTGTAGAGAGGACAGACATGCACAGAATGTTTGCTAGCGCTATATTAAAGACGGCATCCCTTATAGATATCTTTACATACTCCCTAGCCTAGGGGCATACAAGCCTATGGGACTTCCACAGATTCTTTCTTTGCTATAACAATGCATGCAGAGAGTCTCGTGTCTACAGAGGAGTTTTATTGGCTATAGAAGGGATTTTGTAATAACACGACCCCTGATAATTTCTTTACAATAGTAAGAGAATGGAAAACGATGGTTGTAATTGTAACCTGTTTGGAATTACATAATTACATACACTATATTGCCAAAAGTATTGGGACGCCTTTACACGCACATGAACTAATGGCATCCCAGTTTTAGTCTGTAGGGTTCAGTATTTGGTTGGCCCGCCATTTGCTGCTATAATAGACAGAGAAGCGCGTTGGTCACTCCAGAGAACACGTCTCCACTTTTCTAGAGTCCAGTGGCGGCGTGCTTTACACCACGGCATCCCACGCTTTGCATTGGACTTGGTGATGTAAGGCTTGGATGCAGCTGATCGGCCATGGAAATCCATTCCAGGAAACTCTCTACACACAGTTGTTGTGCCAATCTGAAGGCCACACGAAGTTTGGAGGTCTGCAGCTATTGACTCTGCAGACAGTTGGCGACTTCTGCGTACTGTGTGCTTCAGCATGCGCTGACCCCGCTCTGTCATTTTACGTGGCCTACCACTTCCTGGCTGAGTTGCTGTTGTTCCCAGTTGCTTCCACTTTGTTAAAATACCAGTAACAGGTGACCGCGGAATATTTGGTAGCAAAGAAATTTCACAGGACACCTGAATTCAATGATTTGGAGGGGGTGTCCCAATGCTTTTGGCAATAAATATATTTAGTACATACATTTCTGGGTATATAGGAGGTGTATGCCATTCTTATTTTTAAGTAGATCTGGCAACTGAAATAATGTTTTTGTTTTTTCTTGAATAGGGGAGCTAAGCAACGATGCAATTACCTTTAACACAAATTTAATGGGCTATCCCGACCGACCGGGTTGGCTGCGTTACATTCAGCGGACACCTTTCAGTGATGGCGTACTGTATGGATCTCCAACCTTTGAGAGCGTGGGAAAGCCGACCATTATTGAGGTATAAACTGTTTTTTATGCACGCACACAGACAAACACACGCACACAGACAAACACACGCACACAGACAAACACACGCACGCACACAAACACACAGACAAACACACGCACGCAGACAAACACACACACAACCAGACAAACACACGCACACAGACAAACACACGCACACAGACAAACACACGCACACAGACAAACACACACACACACAGACTAACACACGCACAAAGACAAACACGCACTCACAGACACAAAAACACACACACGCACACAGACAAACACACACACGCACACAGACAAACACGCGCACACAGACAAACACACACACACAGACAAACACACGCACACAGACAAACACACGCACACAGACCTACACATACACACACACACAGACCTACACAGACCTACACACACACACACAGACCTACACAGACCTACACACACACACACAGACCTACACAGACCTACACACACACACACAGACCTACACAGACCTACACACACACACACAGACCTACACAGACCTACACACACACACACAGACCTACACAGACCTACACACACACACACAGACCTACACAGACCTACACACACACACACAGACCTACACAGACCTACACACACACACACAGACCTACACAGACCTACACACACACACACAGACCTACACAGACCTACACACACACACACAGACCTACACAGACCTACACACACACACACAGACCTACACAGACCTACACACACACACACAGACCTACACAGACCTACACACACACACACAGACCTACACAGACCTACACACACACACACAGACCTACACAGACCTACACACACACACACAGACCTACACAGACCTACACACACACACACAGACCTACACAGACCTACACACACACACACAGACCTACACAGACCTACACACACACACACAGACCTACACACACGCACGCAGACAAACACACGCACAAAGACAAACACGCACACACAGACGTAAACACACACAGACAAACACACGCACATAGACAAACACACAGACAAACACACGCACAAGGACAAACACGCACATACAGACGTAAACACACACACAGACAAACACACGCACACAGACCTACACATACACACACACACAGACCTACACAGACCTACACACACACACACAGACCTACACACACGCACACAGACCTACACACACGCACACAGACCTACACACACGCACACAGACCTACACACACGCACACAGACCTACACACACGCACACAGACCTACACACACGCACACAGACCTACACACACGCACACAGACCTACACACACGCACACACAGACCTACACACACACACACACACTACACACAATGTTTTAGGGCTATAGTGTAATTGAGTGGTAACAAGTACAGTATGTCATAATATAAACTATTGTGATGGTCATTGCCATCAATGATCAATGACAGTGAGGAGATAGCCAGGGTCCCTATTAAAAATTTGCTATGGGACTCCATGATCTATAGGTGCCCCTCTTGAGTGGTGTAGATACTGGTTTATACAGCAGAATAAACAGTTGCAGCCATGATTCCTATGACCAGTTTTCTGTTATTCCATTACTCGGCCAGAAAATCCATTCCAGGCAATAGTCATTCACCTAAGAATGGTCAACTAGGGGGTGTCTACAGTGTTGAGTGCTGAGTGTCAAGACTAGACTTCCCTTGGCTATTCACTAATGACAGAGCGCCTACACCAGCCATAGAGAATACTTGCCATTATGCAGTGAGCTCATTATGGAGATGGCCATCATTCTGTATAGGGGGTTCAGGATTTGACATGGGAAGTGCTAGAGGAGAGCAGCACTGTGCTGACCCGGACCTCCTGGATAGTGACTACACTGTCTGCTAATCCACTGTAAGTATGTTGATCTCCAAGTCTGTGGCAGAGGGCGCAGGGGATGAATTTGTATATAAAGTGGCACTGAGCTCATGAAGGAGCTAGTCATCCTTCTGTGTGGCATGCGTAGGATTCACATGGGTAGTGCTAGAGGAGAGGAGCACCGCCGGGTCTGGAACCCCAGATAGTCTGTGGCCAAGGGTGCAAAGGATGGAATTTGGGGCTGCCACATAAAGTGGCATTCATCCTTTAAAGTGTATCTAAAGCCATTTGTTTTTGGATAGAGTGGTTAGAACTCTTGTTAGGATGTGACATGTAAGGAGGGAGGGGGCAGTACTAGAGAATCGTCTCTTCCCGAAGTAGTCAAATGTTCAAAGGCACATTGCACGTGAATTCAAAAATCATTTATGGGGGAAAAAACATTGCAAGTAAAGCTTTTGGAGGACTTGTTTTTGTGCTTTTTACTCCATGTTTGCATTTGGTGACAGGGTCTCTTTAAAGGCCAGGACAGATGAATATACATAATAGGGAATTTGTGACATTCTCATCTTATGTAAATGGCAGATTAGCTGTCAAGAACGTTAAAGTTTACAGCAGAGCTGGAAATAGGAGCACAGCTGTGTCCCGGCATGATACTCTGAGTAACCTTTACTTTGTCACAATACACAAATCTGACAAAGGCCAACGTGGATTAAAATGTGACAGAAACAAAACAGCATTCATTACATAAGTCTCAAGCTGAAATTATTTTGGAGAAACAGTCATTTTTACAGAAGTCTTCCACCTAAGGCTTCTAAAGAGAATCTGTCACTTTGCTCATTCAGGTCAGATTGACAGGTTCTCTTGATAGGACCCCCCACCCACTGATACTCATCTCCACTGCTGCTTGTATCTGTATGTGATGAGTCAGGAAAAGTACTTTGCCAACATTTGGGAATAATTAGGAGGAACACTTTGAAGGTTTTCAAGAAGAAATGTTGGACACATGGGGTGTGGTCAAAAGTAGGCATGGCTCCACAACATATGGCTTGTAGCCTCATGCCTTCCCTTCTATGTTTTGCTATTTTTGAGACCAAACAAGGACCTGGAGGTGCATGAAGAGTAAAATAAGCCCCATCACTGATGTCAGTGTGAGTGAAACAAGCTGTGTCAGTGGGATGAAATAAGGCCCATCATTGATGTCAGTGGGATACAATAACAGTAGAAAGGCATCATGGCACACTCACAAACCAGCATGTAAAACAACTTGTCTCACCACTAAGGACAATGACAGAGGTTTGGATACACGTCTTCTGCAAAGGATGTGTAAGCCGCACTGCCGCGCCAAGGCACCTCTTATAGTGCGGTCCTAACTCTAACGTGTCAGTGGGATACAATAAGCCCCATCATTGGTGTCAGTGAGATAAAATAAGTCCCATCATTGGTGTCAGTGGGATACAATAATCCTCATCATTGGTGTCATTGGTCTACAATAAGTCCCATCATTGGTACAATTGCACAGCCACTCCACGGGACGTGGACACTGTGACCCAACCTCCAGAATCCCGGAACTGTCCCGCAAGATCCAGCACACTTGACAATATGTATTTCCATGTATGGAGTGCATGGGACCTTCTGCCCTTCCTCTCCAATAGACAGTACTGAACATAGTCCCACTCCCACGAGGGAAGAAGGTGGTCGCCCCCATGCACGCTCCATCACTGACAGACGTGGAGCTATGCGGCTTTATATCGAGCCGTTGCCCACTGCCACCAATCAAATCCCTTGTCTCATTTTCCAACTGCAGTATTCAGACTGAAAGATAAATCCTGATTTGCTTCCAGCCAGTCACCCCCGCGCCCATAACATTGGCCTGTTTGTGTTTTACCTTCTCTAGCAGATTTTTGTTGTGCCTGTGGCCAGTTGTTATACATGATGTAATGGATAAAACAGCCGGGCCCAGCTATGAGTGATGTCCTAGAACAACATGTCATTATCCTTCCCTCTCCCGCCGCCGCAGATAGATTTTTGGCCTTGTCATAATGTATAGCAGCCATGTATAAACGTGCGGTATGCAGGCGGGGTGACGCCCCCCCTCCACCCGCCGCCTCGACCAATGATGACTATGAATGCACATGTTGTGAGGGACAGATGTTGAACTCTCAGAGGAAATTGAATTAATGAGACACGGCGTACAGCTTGAGCGCGGATGTCTGTATACACGGCTCCTTTGCCCCTCTCAGAAGATTGAATTCCATCGCCATGTATCCTGGGCAGCTGGGGCCTTCCAGAGCCCTTAAAAATGTCCGGCTTTGAAGTATATGAATAAAAGTGATTTTTAGCTTTAGATGTAGCGAAGGGTTAAAGCTGAACTGTTTCTGTCCATCCAGTCCTAAGATTTACACAGCCCTACAGAACAGCACAGACCTGCCAGGCAGGAGAGCAGACGTGATCTCTTTCTGCTGCAATTAATTTACAAGTCTCCTCCCCACCCCCACCCTGTGACTGCACAGTGTAAGAAGAAGCAGTAGGCTATTACGCTCATCTCTCTGTCTCTATGCTCTCTTCTCCTATCAGCATGCACCTTGCGCTGCAGATCAGCTGATTGGCTCCTTCTGATGGTCTAATGTAATGTAATACTGTATTATGGCCACTAGTTGGAGCTGAGGAGCACAGGAAATAAATACATATTCCTTATGCTCTTCAGCGCCATCTAGTGGCCATAGAGCAGTATTACATTACATTAATAAATACTTATTCCCTATGCTCCTTAGCTCCATCTAGTGGCCATAGAGCAGTATTACATTACATTAATAAATACTCATTCCCTATGCTCCTCATCGCCATCTAGTGACCATAGAGCAGTATTACATTACATTAATAAATACTTATTCCCTATGCTCCTCAGCGCCATCTAGTGTTTATAATGTGGTATTACATCTGTTGTATTACAGCGCCTAATGGGATTTAAACCCTTTTCTACTCCATCCAAAATCAAATAAATAACATTTGGCTTTCAGTAGAGTCAGAATTTATATGTACGCGCCTGTTTCTTTTCTAACTTTTTTCCCCCCATCTGTTTCCTAGGTTATGACATATACAATTGGCAGGCCAACTTGACAGCTGTTTTGGAACTACATGTCCCATGAGGCATTGCAAGACTGGCAGCAACAGGCATGACCCCCAGATGCAGAGGCATGCTGGGATTTGTAGTTTCACCACAGCTGCCGTGCCCAGGTTGCCTACCCCCAATTCATATACTGTATATAGCTGATATCCCTTCGGTTATTATTATTTTTTACCTTGTGCCGTTTATATTTATTTTTACACGGAAGATGAAATATGTTATATAAAACCCTGACCTAGTTTAGTTTTCACCCACGTTCATTATCCCGCTCGGCTCTCGCGGACGCCCAGGGGATCGCTGTGGATTATAATTAGTAACGCTTTCACCGCCATGGCGCTTATTGGCAGTGATAAACACACGCTCGAAATAAGACAAGACGGCCTGTTTTTTTTTACATTTTCTTTTTGTTAGACTTATTTACACATTTTGTATTAAGACAAAAACGCTCAGAATCTGAAACAAGAAAACCATTTGAGCGCCCATTCGCATTAGAGCGTTGCGCTAATCGCACGTTACTGCGTGTTTAACGCATGCTGTTGCGCAATGCACCTACTGTACAGTACCATGCGTTGTGTTGCTTTAATTTACCATTTGACGCCAGTGTGTGTTCTGCATCATTGTAACAACATTTACATTTTTTTCTTTTTTTTACCTTTCTTGAAACTTAACAAAACAATATTTTATTCAACTCAATGCACAACAGCACGTTGTGATGCGCTCCCCAGCATTGTAACAGGTTCCTGCGCACTGCGTTTAAATGCAAGCATGTAATTTTTATGCAACGCACATGTATGGTGTGAACAGGGCACAAGTGTTTCCTATGTGTCCTTTTATTGATCCTGCATTGATCAACGCAGCTCAATGAACATGGTGCGACTGACACCTAAGGGGTCTATTTATAAATAATGTGCCGAGCTATTCACCCCGTGAAACTCTCTGAATGTTCATTCTATATTTACAGAGGCAAAAACCAATGTTCCAAGTATGTTTTCTTTTCAGGTCAAATGTAATGTAATACCGCAATATGGTCACTAGATGGAGCTGAGGAGCTTGTGAAAATAAGTATTTATTCCCCATGCTCCTCAGCTCCATCTAGTGGCCATAATGCAGTATTACATTAGATTACATTCAACCCAAAAAAAAAAAAAATACCAAGAGCGTTAGCTTTTGCAGGGTGAATGGCTCTGTGAATTGTGTATAAATAGACCCCTAAGAGTAACACTTTCAGGTATTTATTACCTCTCAGAGATCACAACACTCCCCGTGACTATGGTTTCATCTGCTTTTTTCTCCAGAAGGATGGGACCGCATTTGTTTAGCCATCATTCAGGGTCACCATTCTGAGCTGAGATGTTGGCATAAAGATGACATAATTATGTAACGTTTGGGACCTGTGCAATTCTTTGCTGTGTTTACAATGTCTGACACAGATCAGCCCCTACTGCAGCCTCTCACCATGAGACTTGCTGCAAAATTAGAATGTTGCAGTCCGATCACTGGGGTGGAAGAGACTGAGGAAATGCTTCCTCCTGCCTGCAGCAGACTGATCCCTCGAGGGGAAGAGACTGAGGGAATGCTTCCTCCTGCCTGCAGCAGACTGATCTCTCGAGGGGAAGAGACTGAGGAAATGCCTCCTCCTGCCTGCAGCAGAGTGATCTCTGGGGGGCGGTTGAGAGGAGAGTGTGGAATTGCCTCCTCCTGCCTGCAGCAGGCTGTTTACTGGTGGGGGGGGAGTAGACTGAGAAAATGCTTCCTCCTGTCTACAGCAGAGTGATCTCGGAGGGTGGGAGGCTGTGGCAGACATCCCAACTCTCCAGGACACTACGGGTGTCTCCCGCTATTAGATAGCGGCTCCCGGCCGCCCGGGAGAGAAACACTTCCTCCCGGAAAGGTTTATCTGAAAAAAACAAAAATCAGAAAAAAAAACCTGCAGATAGCAAAGAAGCTATTGCTTCCTGTGCTATCTGCCATCATTTCAGGGGGGTGCTCTCTCCCAGCCCGCCCCAACCCTCCTCCGCGGATGGTGGTGGGGAAAGGGCACCTCCCTGAAATGAGAGGGACACCTCCCTGAAATTACTTCTTTATCATCATGTGCAGTATCATAGAATTGAATCTTATTCCCGTTTTATCATTTTTTCAGATAACTGCATATAACAGAAGATCATTCGAGACGGCCAGACACAATCTGGTCATCAACATCATGTTTTCAGAAGGTGAGTTTGTCACTCCTACAATCAAACTCTTCCGCTATGTGACAATTAGGGTTGGGCTCGATGTTCGAGTCGAATGTGAGTTCAACTTGAACATTGCTAGTTCGTGTGTTCATCTAACACACAAACTATAAGGGCAACCGGCGTACTGTTCACCCGCTGAACGCCCCGCAATGCACTGTGTGCATTGGCGAGCTTTGATTGGCTAAAGCCATGCACCTAACCACAGGTCCTGTGCAAGACTTTGCCCAATCAGGACATAGAGAACTGTGAGAGCCATGATTGGGCAAAGTCATGATGACTCGGCCCAATCATGGCTCCCCTGTTACAACTGTAAACAGTTGGGCGGAGCTAGCTGTCACTGCTAGCTCCGCTCAATTGTTTATAAGTTGCCGGCATCTATCAAAATGCCATTCTTCGGCGGGTTTTCTTCGCAGAGGACAGGGCAGCATAACGTCTCCCAAAAGCCAGCCCACTGCTTCCATCTTGAGAGGAGTACTGAGCCAGGAAGCTATGTACTGCACCCTGCCGGCCCCTCCCACCAGCTATGATTTGCCTGCATTCCATAGAGCAGCTCAGAGACCCAGTGATGATGTCACTGGATCCAAAATAAGGTCTATAATGACATCAGAAAAAAAAAAGGCAAACTATAAGTAAATTTCAGCTTCATGTTCTTGCAAAATGCAGCAACAGCCCTGAATGTTCTCACGTTACCATAGAGATTTCATAACATTGTTATAGATCAGAGGTGCCCATTAGGTAGATCGTGATCTACCAGTAGCTCACAAAGCTGATGCTGGTAGATCACGAGAGAGAGCAAGCAGAGACAGCCAGGAGAGCAAGGAGAGACAGTTAGGAGAGTGAGAGAGAAGGAACGTGAGGGAAGTTTTTTTAGTTGGTAGATCTCATGTAGCTCGTCATTTGAAAAGTAGATCTTAACACAAAAATTGTGGGCACCCCTGTTATAGATTGTCTTATTTCACTGATGAAACCAACGTTTTCTCTGTGTGTCTTATGACAGATTTCCCCCTCCCATACCAAGCCGAGTTCTTTATCAGGAACATGAACGTGGAGGAGATGCTGGCCAGTGAGGTTCTAGGGGATTTCCTCGGAGCCGTGAAAAACGTTTGGCAGCCGGATCGCCTGAATGCAATAAACATCACCTCTGCGCTGGACCGGGGGGGCCGGGTGCCTCTGCCCATCAATGACATGAAGGAGGGGTGAGTTAAATTTCTACTCTACTTCCTGCTGCTCGGGATGTACCCAAAGCTGTGATCATAAAGTGGACCCTTCAGTCACCTCACACGTCTCCATGAATCAGTTCCTGACCTGTCACAGTACACACACAAAAAAGCTCCGCCTCTTAGCAGTCAAAAGCCCCTGGGCACCAGTCATGTGACTTGTGGGCTGAGATGAGGTCTTAGTCCCCGTTCACACTTGCCATGGATACGAAGACGTGCCAAAGCATGCACATGGGTGTGCGTTCACACAACGAGGGTAAAAACGCGTGACACGATTGCAGTGCCATTACTTGTTAATGGTGGCCAAAATGGAGCAGGTAAAATGTGTGTCTTTGCCTGCACCTTGACGCACAATTGCGTCAAAAAATGTGAATAAAGTGCCATCCTGATACCTGTACTCTGTGGATCATTTGTTAGTACAGTTTGCCTTTAATAAATCTTATCTTTGTGGATATTTGAAAGAATTAGCATGACAGCCAGGGAACCAAGATTTTTTAGAGGGGAGGTCAGTAATGGCGGCCTCCATACTTTTCACATGATAGAGTCACATACAGTGCTGTCATGAAACGCGTACTCTGTGGATCCTTTGTTAGTACAGTGTGCTTTTAAGAAATCTTATTTTTGTGGATATTAGAAAGCATGACAGCCAGGGAACTAACATTTTTTAAAGGGGTGTTCAGCAATGGCGGCCCCCATACTTTTCCCATGATACAGTCACTTTAAGGAATAAATTCCTGTCATGAAATGTGTACTCTCTGGATGCTTTGTTAGTACATTGTGTTTCTAATGAAGATGAAAGCAAATCTTTGTGGATATTGTAAAGCATATGATATATTTAAAGGACTAACACAGTCATTAGAATAGTTTGGCAAGCGTTTTCCGCTCCTTTCATATGAACAAAACATGTCCTTGTTTTTCCTGGCACAAGTGGCAGATGCTCTCATGTATTTTTTCTGTACATTTTATTGCTCGCCCATTTCACGCGTCCCCTGCCTGTCCCGGCTATAAAAAGAAGGGGTGAGTCAATTTTTTTCTTCTAACTTGTAATGAAAGCAGTCATGCATCAATAACGCCTAAATAATTGCTTGCACGGAAGCCTGAGATGCTGTTATTAGGGAAAAGACAAATTACATGACTTGGAGACAGCTCTGGCTGCTTTGCTGGAGATCAACAACTTGCTGTTTTTTGAGATTTAACCTCTTCAGTACCAGCCGGTCATACCCCTTCATTACCTGGCCATGTTCACTTTTCATCGCTGTGATACTTTGACTGACAACTACTCTGTCATGCAGATTTAAGGCCAAATTAATGTTATATCCTTTTTTGTAGACCTATAGAGATTATTTGGTTGTCCAATCTACACCAATCTCCTCCTAACCTAATTCCTATTGGCCGTTGAGGCGCATGTGAACGGGAACCATGTTAATGCACCATGGCACCGGGCTGCCAAGCCCGTCATTCATTTTAATGGGCTGCCCTACGGGGGAGAAGCTTATGCAGCAGTTTGAGCTGCAGCTCCATGTGCGTTTTTGTCCGGCAAAGACGCACGCTATGCCTGCCGCGTTTGGGGTGCCATTAACATGTACTGGCGCTACAAGCAGTTCACATGTTTTCAGTGATCCCAGGCAGATCCAGCTCCACCACTGCCCCCCCATCTGACAGATTCAAGTGAACCTGTGCTAAGAGAAACTTTGGAAACTGTCATTTCTGGTCTCCTTTTAAAAAAAAGCGACTTGCCTGGCTGTCATGCTGATCCTCTGACTTGAATACCTTCTGAGTTACTTACCTGGCAATATATGTAGTCAGTGCCATCCCTAGCCTTATTGCCTTTTTTGGCCTTACGGGTGGGGGGGAGGCTATGTGGTGTAGGTTGAGTGACGCCACCCTCCTCTCCCAGCTTGGTATCCCTTCCAGCTCCTGGCACCCAATGATGTCACTTGTTGTCAGGAGCTGGGTAGGACGCCGACCAGAGTGCCCCAGGTTGCTAAGAGTTGAGCAGGGAGATGTGTATGGCCCTTACTTTTAGAAACCTGCAACACTCTGCCCGGAAAGAGGAAAGAGGTCGGCAGGCACACTGTAAACATTGTGCAGCAGAGCAGCCATGCCACACTGCCTGCT